ATTAACCACCAGGGGGCATGTACCGTTTAGTACTAGTTCTTGTAACTCACCATGAAGTTCAAAAGCCGTCCTGATCAGAAGATAAGAGTTGGACTGACGTCAGCTTTTGAGTAGATTAGTGGTTAGTGGTTTAGTGGTAGATAGTGGTTTCCATTAACTTTGGGTTAGTGTGACATCACCAGGCTGCCAGAACCAACAAGGGAAATGAAAGATGTCTCAGTCAGGAAGTGGGAAGGGTTGTCAATGGCATAGCTTCAATTTCTGTTGCTGTTCTCTTCTGTTTCAACATTTAATAATCACAGTCCAAAAACCTCAGATTTTAGTTTTTAGTTTGGCTGAGAGCACACACCCAAACACACACAGAAATACACACATAAACTCAGTTTTCTATTTCCATTTACTCTCATTTGAGTAGTTATCCTATGATGTCTCATAATCTCCACCACTAAACACATTCAGAATCAGGATCAGAATCACTAATGCTTAGATTTCCTCGTGGAGGACATCATTGAGTCACTGCTTACAAAGTTACTAAGAAAGAATAAAAATACAGCAAGTAGAGTAGAGGAAACAGCAGCAGCAAACACACTTGGGGATCTATTCAAGTTCAGCCAGACACACAGTTGAGACCCAGGCAGGCTGAACAAAATCCAAACAATAGATATTGAACACAGATAATAACAAAATAATCTTAATAATCTGTATTAATAATCGAATCCCATCAACGCCTGTAGATGGACGCTGCAGTGGCTCATCAACTCATCCGGTTGGTCTGTTGTCAAATTATTGTTTTCTTTGTTACCAAAGCATAAAGCTGAAACTGTACATTTATTTTAGTATATTATTTTAGAAAGTTATTTTCTTTTATTATGTGGCCTATTCTACTTTTTGTTACTTTGTTATTTTCTTTTGCTCTGCAGAGTCAGTGCTAACTCTCCACCAGAAATTGATTAAACCACATTTAAAAAATAAATAAAATCCATACTTTAAATTGAACACATTGCAAGTCACAGGTTGGCCAGAGTCCTGCCAGAAAGTGGAGAAGAATAAATGTCCCATTGTT